GGAAGCTTTGAGAAGGCATCAGAACGTATTAGTGAATAATGCGATAGAATCATTCGATAGAGTATTAACGCAGTCGAGGATGTTATGCTCAATGATAATACGCTATAAGAATTACGTGAATTAGCCAGCGGTACTCAAACTTTAGGAAGACTCTGAGCCTAGCCTAGTGAAGTAAACTGGGTATGATGACTCGAAGTGTACCAATTAGACATTGGTAACTGAAAGTAGTACCGTGTCACGGATTAACAAACAGTTCGCTTGGGTAAAGCAGATCAGTACACCGACTCGAAGATCAGTTCAATTTTGTACATGCACAGAGATATTTGTAATCATAGAGAAAAGTATCTAAAATAAATAGCTTTAGAGTACAAGAATTGGGCGAAATTTCGTAAAAATAATATGAGATTCAATAAAAATAATTTATAACCTTAATGTTAATTCAAAACATTATATAATTACATAAACTTTGACAATCAACAAGATCACAAAAGACTGTTTACGCGATCACCTGTTTGATTCTATTAAGCATTACAGCAGATTATATAGACTGAGGTCTGTAATAGTATTGATGGTGCGTATAATTTACTTTATCAATTATTTAACATAACAATTACTGTGATCGGATTTCACTGCCATTAAGTACATATTTATTTGTGTGTAGTAACATTAGGACTTCGATAAATATGTACTTCTGTAGATAAAACCTTATTACATAACGATTTGTAACCTAGTCTCTTTTTACTAAATGCAAATGTTTAGACGGATAGATGGTTATTATGTAACTCCAAAACTGCGAAACATATTTCGATAAAATTTGTTGTAGATTTAGGACACAGTTTGTTCAATAAAGTTATTTTTAATTCTGCGCAGACGAAGCTGTACGCAAAAGCTGATATAGATGTAATCTATACTATTATAATAAACACTTCTTTGGTGTCATGTCAGCAATTACAGCATATTTTTGAATAATTATTTTTATAATAGGACGTAGAAATAGAAATTGAGGACGCACGGGAACAGCTAGTAAAAATTATACTTAAGGTTTTATTAAGGTTTCCTTTGCTGTGTAATGTCTACGTTTTCCTCTTACATTGAAAACGCAAAAGTTAAGCCTCGAATATTGTAGTTCTGTATCAATAAGCCGGCCTTTGTGCGACGTAATCTCATAAGGTCCGGGGCTCATTCTGTCCACCAGGATCCGAGCTCCGGCGAGCTTTGTATGGGCATCTCTAATACCCACATTGTCACGGAAGAATCCTCACTTTGTCCAAAGAAATAACCAAGATTCTTATTTAACTGTTGTACAAAAGCGAGAACTTTTTGCTTTGTTATAAAATTAGTACGTATACTATTTCATTTACAAGTTTCCATAGACAAACTATGACATCATTACGATATGTGAAGTGTTGAAGCGATGATGTGAAGATTAAATGATTTGGTCAAATACTAATTAACGTATGAATTGTATTAAATTCATTTTTACATGAACATTTATAGAACCTCTACTAATAAATATGCAGTAATAAATATGATAAATAAGACAGTTATTTTTTTTATTCATTTCCTAAGATAAATATTTATCGTGTGTATGTAACGCTTATTTATAGTTAGAGCAAGATTTCCAATAGACTCAACACAGACTAGAGGATGCGAGCGACCGATTTCCATGGAATTTTTCCATTACCCAGACAAATTGCCCGCCGCATCTAATGTGGTGCCGTGTCGAAGTCTATATTTATTATTACATATACAGACAACGCAAATAATATAAGATAACGTATTTAAATTATGTTATGTCATTATTTAATTAATGATAACGTTTTATAGTCTACATTCATAGCGATGTTTTTATATTAATGAAAATTAAGTAAAGCAAATGAAGTATTTCGTAATTTTTCCAGTGCATGTGAAGGTTTAACACTTAAACAATCCTATAATTTACGAATTTAATTTAAAAATAAACATCTTTGTATTAAGGCGCTCTTGGAGAGACAAAGATTTACATTTCAATAAATATTCAATTGTATTTTTCACGGAAGAGTGAAGAGCAGTAGAGTTTTCATGAAATTGGACAAGTTACCTTTGTGTGGTCACTTTGGGTCGGTCACTTCGGACAAAGGCTGAAAAGCGGTTTGCGAATAAACTTTGCAATCGCATGCATGACTGTCATTATTTTAATGACCTCCTTTGTCTCGATGTAATTCTGTTTTGATCAAATGTTATACATAGTACAATTGTGTTGTTCAAATGTTATATTGCGATATTTATATTCTTAAACAATGTGTCATTACATTTTTTAGAGTAATGCCTTCAAGTTATTACGTTTTTTGTTCCAATACACTGTTGTTACATTTCATAACCTCTTTTTACTGTAGGCGTAATTTAATCTAACATTATATAAATACTACAATTATTCGTAAGCATATAACGGACTATGCTATACTGAAAACAGGCAAAATACAAATTAAAAAAGTCCGTGCAAGAGATGAAACCTCACAGTGGTCACCTGTACATGATATTTTACATCTGAACAATAAAACACAATTCAAAACAAACCTTAAAGCGAACTGCTTAACGTATAATTTCCCTTAGCTTGTGATATGTGTATGAACATTCGATTACACACACCAATGGTCAAGTATTTATCAATTAACGGAATATTTAATAGAGCAGGCATCCAGCTGTCAATTTGGTGGAGGGCGCATTCCTCGTTCATTAGACACTTCAAAGCTACTCCACGTTCTGTAGTCAATTGGAATTTAATAGCTATATTACTCCTAGTTTATATTTAAAATACTGTATTTTTAGAATAATTGCAGGAAGGATAGGAATCAATTGTCACTCAAGTACAGGTTCGTAATTGAAAAAAAAAAAACTGTATTAAAATGTTGACCTCTGTGAGATTGTAATCAACGCTTATGTTTATGATTCATTTCAATATCAAAATAAATATAATGCAAAAATCATGCAATTTCGTTATCATCATTTAGTCCGATTACTATAGTTTTAAATTTTTTTTTAAGATGAGCCATTTATGCCGGATTTAGGTTACTTTTTAAATCAGTAGATAAAGTTCAGGGATCAAAACCGTATGCATACAGTTCCGAATTCGGCAAATATTAATAGGATTGAAGTTTGAATTGGGCCGAGTGAATGGGCGGTGATTCGCACGACCCTCTTACTGCGTCAGGCTAATCTACGAGGGAGCCACTGTGACCGGCAGTACAACTAAACTTACCACAGTTACCCTCGTTTTGATCTTTTTAATATATTCTCTTTTATATCGAAGATTTGATTTATAATCGGATTACGAATCTTGAGCTGGAAAATATATTTTTCGAGATATTACGTACTAAGTGTTAAATTGTAGTTTAGATATTTTTCTAAAATTTTAATTCTATAAAAACAGAGTTCAGTTTCTGTATCCGTGAATTTGTATCACTAAAGTATCGGTATACATGTCGTTCTGTTGTCTATTTTTCCACAGAGAATAAGTGGAGATGGCTGTAATTTTTGTACATGTGCTTAGCTAAACATACTTAATACTCAAATACTTTATGCTAGATTTTTTCTTCTTCAAATACCACTTGTATTTTTTTATTTTATTTTTCATAGTTCTGTACATTTCTCTATTTGGATGTACTGTATGGGGCGTGACCTTCAATAAAATTCTTTTCCATGGTCAATTTAAAATATAATACGGTTGTCGGCGACGAATGGCCCCTTCCGAATCTAATTTGCACCTCCGGGCCTTCTGATATTCACACAAGATATTACGCGTCGAGAGCTTACGAAATCGTTTTCAAATCTAATTTCTTATAACATAAAGAAAATAGTTTCGTTGACAATGATCCATAAAGACAGCCGAGCAGAGAGTTCAATGATCATTAACTAAAAAAAAAGGAAAAAAGATATAAACTGTACAAAAAAGAGTACGGACTAAGAGTCTGTAGATGTTGATTAAAAAAAAAGATCATTAATGGCCAGTTTCCCAGCTGCATTTACCATTAATTGATTTTTGATTGGATAAATTCTTGAAATGCGTTTCCGGATTATAAAAGAGTTTTACTCCTTTGAAAATTAGTTTAACCTACCACTAATGGATCACTAGATAATTATAAAATAAACGGAAACTTCAGCATTCCAGCGTAAAATTATTTGAGTTTATTTGACCACATCACTGTGATCGTTACAACTATCACTTGTAGCGTTTAAAATTGACTATTCAACTATTTATCAGTGTGATATTTAACATTCAACGAAAAATATTGTTGACAGTAATCGATAACGATTGAACGTGTCAACGGAAAGATCAAAGCTTTGTTTAAGTCATGTCCATACTACTACACTATTTAAAAACTAAAAATATATAAGCGTTAACTGTAGTAATTTTCGTTGCAATTTTTGTAAGACTTTTAAAACACAATTTACATTTAGTTTGGATTGCTTAAGAATTATGAATTGGAGTAACGAAGTAAATTTAATTTTGTAATTCGCTTGCAATTTATGACGTGGAAAGAACTTTATCTTGGAACTGCAATCATTTGTGTATCAAATGGTATTATGTGAAATGGTATTTTTATGATAAAGTAATGCTTCTGTTTTATCGATGACAAATACTCAATATCTTGTATTATAAATAAATAATCTAAAAAATGAGATTAAATGTATCAAATCGAAAAGAAGCATATTCTGTTATTTTATGGTAATTAAAATAACTTAAAACTGTAACCGTGCATTTTCACTGCTGAAAACTGTAAAACACATATATCGAAAATGATAGTTATAGGATACTTTGGAAATAACGTCATTATTATTTTACCTGCAATTGGCCTTATTGTGTTGTAGAACTAAAAAAAAACAGTTTGATCTCCTTCTAATTTTGAATTCATTTTGAATTCACCTTAATGTATAAAAGGTCATTTGACCAATATGTTCAATATAAACCGTTAATCGTCGCAGTATTATCTGAACTGTATGAATTAGAAGTAATATAATAAATTATTACAATGTATAAAATTATTCTATTGCGACGTTTAATATTATTAATGTGTTATTCGTGTTTGCAAATAAATATTGTTTCTGGATACAATATAAAAGTGAATCAGGTAAATCCGTTCGTTTATACTATGTTTTATGCAGTTATCTATAATGCCATAGACTAACCGAATTCGCCTTTTTTTGAGAAAGTTTCATCCGATTGGCATTCCTCCCTAGCATGTTATACCGATAATCGATTTATTTTTACGATTATTCATTTTTAAAATAGGATTTATTGATTACTCGTGTTATAACAATCATCGATGTTTACTTAAAACCGTAAAATATATTAAGTTTTTAACTATGTTTATGTACATATAATCAACTACATAAATATGTAAATACTTATAAATTTACAAAGCCTGATATTCGTATTTCATTTGGTTTCGAAACTATCTAAAAACGGTACGCGTACCACTAGTATTACAACAGTATTGCTATCCTTGTCTATCTTTAAATAAAAATTGATAGCAATAACGTTGTATCTTATGCGTGTACAAAATTCTTAGTGAAACAAGACATGAATACAAAAACTCCAGTCGATGTTGATATATCAATTTATCATTCGAGAATATTTGCAGAACTCCGAGATAAATGTTATAAACAATGACTTACGTTTCTGTGATATTGCTATGAACACTATCTCATTTTATCGAATATATAGATATCTGTCATCATTCGCATTATTAGTTGTGATGGTAATTTGAATTCCGCGCAGTTTGACAAAACATTATTGACTTGACAGTAGTTAAGGACACACAAAACAGTTGAATTATAATCATCTTTGAAGGTGAACATTTTTAACCAATTTAAACGAAGTAAAATATGGTAAGTCCAACTTTTGCTTTCGTTAACGACGTTTTTTGTTTTTAGGCCGCATGATTATTGAAAACAATTGAAATATAATTACTTCGACAATGCATGGAATAATTGTCACTAAACAATACCAGTGTCGTATTAACAATTCAAACAACTTATATAATTGTTACAGTGTTACATTATTACCAAGTTTGTTTAATTTATCCATTGATTTTGATCGTGAGATATTATTGCCATTTGCGACATTCGACCACAGACGACATTTTTGATTTTGACATTCGTGTCAAATTCGTGTCTTGTCTAAATATAGAGTACAAATAATGTGCAAAAAAAAAAGATAATTACTTCGACAGACTTTATTGATACGACATACATTTAATAAACTATTATGTTATATAAAGACATAACATAATAAGCTACAATAATAAAAACAACAATACATTATAATATAGTAAATATTGTAAAATAGCACCTGGCAAATGTAAAGAGCAATAAACTTTTAGAGAAAGAAACGTTGCGGCCCTTTTTATATGTGATTGTAAGAATACGATGTACAGAAAATAAACAACCCCCATTTAATGACACTAAAAATATTTTAAGCCCGAGAATATTCTTTCTATTACTTAAAACCCATTTTGAGTTGTTTTAGAGATTAAAAATATATATAAGTTAGTATAAGTTTCGGCGCTCTCTCGTGTCGGAGGCCAAGACCCACTTTGGGTCGCTGCGCCAACGCAGTAAGTAAGTAGTATAAGTTACTTGCTTTCAATAAAATTATTTCTATTTATTTATTTCTAGGCCAGTTCAACAAGTCCACGCGTCTGTATCATTGGCGCGGGAATAGCGGGACTTACTTCTGCTAAACATTTAAAAGATGAAGGAATAAACTTCACCGTTCTCGAATCGACTAGGTACATTGGCGGAACGTGGAGATATGACCATAGGGTAGGAAAAGACGAGAACGGCTTACCGTTGCACACGAGCATGTACATGCATTTAAGGTAAACCAGTTTCAAAGGTGTCATTATATGTCTGAGGCATACAACTTTCAGTATTACAGTAGTATTAATGTCTTTGAGAATAAATATTTTTTTAATCCACAGAACAAACTTACCAAAACCAACAATGGAACTGCAGGGTTTTCCTGTACCAAGAGAGATGCCATCCTTTCCTAGCTGGAATATATATTATGACTACATAAAGGCTTATGCGGCTCACTTTGATTTGCACAAACATATAAAGGTAATAGAAAGGCCACGTCTTGCATAGGACGTTACAGATGGCCTAAAAGACTTCTGGCATATCTGAATCTGACACTATGGGCTGTCTGGATATATACCTTTTAATATTATATTTGAAATGTATTAACTTGTACCTTGTCTACAGTTTCTGCATAAGGTAACATCAGTGAAACGAGTTGGGAATGTATGGAAAGTGAAACACGGGCATGTACTAAGAGGTGTAGAGTACGAGGAAGAATTCGATTTCGTTATAGTTGGGACTGGCCACTTCAGTAAACCTAATATGCCGGAAATTCGTCATGAACATCTTTTCAAAGGTAAGTTTCTACACTTTACAAAAAAAATATCACGCTTAATCTAGATAGATGAGATGGTTATATTATTACATTCAACCTTATACCTTAAAGTGACATAGTGTTATAACAATATGCTTGTACAAAACAGCAAGGCGAGGTTGAATTCTCCAAGCTGCTTTTTTTCTTATTTTCACCACTTACTCAAAGATTTTTAACGGGTACAGAGTTTGGATACACGATTATAGTGTAATTTTTTTAACAACACACAATTTCCAGGAACAATAATCCACAGCCACGACTACAGAGTACCTGACGTATTTACCAATCGTCGTGTTCTGGTCGTCGGCGCGGGTCCTTCCGGAATGGATATCGCTCTAGATGTAGCAAACTATTCTAAGACCCTTGTCCATAGTCACCACTCTAAGGTGAACTTTAAAACCAAGTTCCCAGATCACTTCATCAGAAAACCCGATATCAAGGAGTTTAACGAAACCGGAGTTATTTTTGTTGATGGTACTTATGAAGATATTGATGACGTCATTTATTGTACCGGTAATAACTTTGTAACGTAATGTATTTGTAACAAAAATATATGGCCTTTAATTTTCTATTGATATGTGAAAAATGTCTCGCTGTTTTAGGATACGAATACGACTACCCATTCCTGGACAAATCATGTGGCCTAGTAATCGACAAGCACAGTGTCATCCCCCTGCACAAATACATGGTAAACATAAATGAACCAAGTATGGTCATAATGGGACTAGTTATACGTGCATGTCTTGTAGTTGCTATAGACGCCCAGGTAATAATTACATACATCTATGTACATAAAATAAATTGCAATGTAACTTTTTATCATTACTCTTGTGTTTGTTTGGTTTTTAGGCCCGTTATACAACTGCCTTGATAAAGGGTAATTTCACACTGCCGTCTAGAGATGAAATGATGGCTGAATGGCAAAAGCAGGCAGACATAATTCGTTCTAAAGGACGACCCATCTCAGATATACATTTCTTGGCAGAAAAGGAGGTATTTCTTGCGAATAAGTAATTCTACTACGCAAAGGATTTAGTAAATACGATAACATATTAGCAGATATAATTTAAAAAAAATAAACCGAAGTTTTTTTTTGTGGAAAATTAGGTTGTAGTAGTGAAGTAAACTTGCCGTTATTTGTTATTTTTCATTGTCATGTAACTCGATATTTTCAGGATCAATATTACGAGGAAATATCTGAAGAATCAGGCATCGATCGAGTTCCTCCTGTCATGTATAAAATACGCACCATGGACACGGAAGCGAAGCTCGAAAACCTCTACACCTACAGGAACTACGTGTACGAAGTCATAGACAGAAACACGTTCGCCAGGCGCCTGGAGTCAGACACGAAGCCTGCTGACAACAGGATCTTACCTTAATTTAAGCCAAAATATTAACTTTAATGACATATATATTAATTTTAAGATTTAAGACAAAATCTTTTAAAAAAAATCAAAATAAAATTTAATACAGAGAAAAAGTTTTTAATTTTAATGCCAATATCGTTATGGTCTTTTTGCTTTTCTTTGCAACATGCTACTCTATATTTGTGTTAGTTACTGTCACTGTCAATGCCAATGTCAATAGTCATTCTCAAGGAAACATTAAAAGTAGGTTTATAAACAAACTTTTATTTGGTATCTTATCTTTTTAATGGACCTGTTTTGTTTTAATTGGTCCAGACTCTCACAGTCTTATTTCAATTTTGGTGAGGAAAGGAAAAAATCAAATATCAGCAGTTTCGACATATGAATTATGGTAAGTTTATTTTCACCTTATGGGATTTGCTTTCTTTTTACATGGCTTAAAAAGTAATTTTGTATAGACGCTTATTTTAGGGGCTTATAGTCCGGCAACAATATTTACGTCTAATGCAAGTGTATTTGGTCATGGAAGTGCCAAGTTGTGCAACATTTTCTTAATGGTTACCAAAAGTTTGGGAACATTGTGCAATAAAAAAACATTCTGGATGCTGTATTGATTTTAGTATATATTTGATTTCCATGATGATAATTAGAAATTCTAGTGTATATTTCTTTCACAGAGTTTTGCAAAGTCAGGAATTAAATTTTATAATGGACAAACAACTAATGAAACTTACAATTAAACAAATTAGACTTACAATACTGATATTTGCATTTTGGATATTAATAAATATACGTTACTAAAAATGTGATTTTAGGATAAATCAAGTGGACCACGTGTTTGTATTATTGGTGCTGGGGTTGCTGGTCTTACTTCTGCAAAATATTTAAAAGATGAAGGAATAGACTTTACAGTACTGGAATGTACAAACTATGTGGGTGGTATGTGGAGATATGAGGCAATGAAAGGAACCGATGAACATGACCTTATATTGCACACAAGGATGTTATGGATTTAAGGTGAGGCACAATTACTTAGACATTTTGTAAGGCAGTTAAAGAAACCATTGATAAAAAACAATATGCACCTTAAGAATTACTTTTAGTGTGTGGTTATTGTGCAAATGTTAGTGAGAGTGAAGATAATACAGAGAAATTGCAGATCAATAAATCATAACATGATTGCTAACACTTGCATAATAATAATATACTTTCATTAATGTATGACTTGCAATATTGAAATTATTTGTTACAACTATTAATAGTTTAATTTAAGTTATAATTATACAAAAGGAAATGGTTATGACTAACTTTTTGTTATCTGTATATGTGCTTTGCTATATGTGACATTTCCAATAACTAAACAAGTTTTGTCTGATGTAAATTTTAAAGTTTTAATTTATATGAATAATAGTTGTAAGTAAACATTCTTTTTAAGACCTTTTTAAGGTAGGTTAAAAAGGATTTGATATTGACAGAGAAAGGATTTCTCCTGCAGTTCATATTTGTATATCAAGGATTATAAAGCATCTATAAATCAAGCTAATTAAGTTTTGAATTTAGTTTATTTCATAGTACCATTAGAAAAAATATTTTTTATTGTAAATGGTTTTTTTTTTTATTTTTTAGGTTAAATTTGCCACATCCTACAATGGAACTCCGTGGATTTCCAATACCAAAACATTTGCATTTCTTTCCTAATGCACAATTATATTACTACTACATCAGGTCTTATGCAGAGCGTTTTCACTTAGTAGATTACATACAGGTAAGTTATTGAACATCAGAATATCTAAATGCTTTCTATCTTTTAAAAAACTATGCAAGATGTACCTACTCACTTGCAAGTTCATTAATCCTCTAAAGGTTGATTTTTAACATGGTAAAAACCACCATTTGTAGTACAATGCCAATCTGTACTAATATTATAAAGTGGAAAGTATGTATCGAAATACCTCAAAATTACTTGACCAATTTGGAAAATTCCCTCACAGTTAAAAATCTATGTTATCACTGAGCAACATAGATTACACTTTTTTATTATTTTTTAATTCATGTGGACAAAGTTGCGAGTAAAAGCTACTAATTCATTATTAATGTTGTGTTTAAACAATAGAATTCTTTACTTGTTTGTGAATTATTTCATTGATTAAGAATGTGAACAATATATCATCATCACCAGCTCACTATACGTCCCCACTAAGGGGCTCAGAGCCTACCCTAAGTAAGGGTGACTAGGCCTATAACAACAATATATAATCAAAGAATTTAAATAATTCGTTACAGTTTCTTCACAATGTCACATCAGTGAGACGAGAAGGAAATGTATGGAAAGTGAAACACACAGATGTACTAAATAAAACAGAGCATGAAGATGAATATGACTTTATGATTATAGGAACTGGACACTTCAGCAATCCTAATGTGCCAAACATTCCAAATGAAGTACTTTTTAAAGGTTTTTAATCATACTAATATTATGGATGGATGGAGGGATGGATGTTTGTTTGAGTTTGTAGCCTAAATGGCTGATCGGATTTCCATGAAATTTAGCATGAATGTAGAAGATAGTTTGGAAGAACACATAGGCTACTCTCTTTCTTTTTTTTTAATTCCACGCGGACGGAGTCGCGGGCGAAAGCTAGTTCATATATAAGTACTAGTGGCCGCCATTGTTCGTTATTCATTCATAATTCACGATCAAATTTATTTTTTAGCTACAGTGGGTTTCCACTACCCATATCTATTATATCATTTTAATTTGAAATTCAACTTCCAGGAGAAATATTGCATAGCAATTATTATAAAGTATCTTGTATATTCGAAAACAAACGTGCTTTAATCGTGGGTGGGGGAACCTCTGCATGGGATATTGTTATAGAAATGCTTACGGACTCCAAGACAGTGGTGCACAGCCACCATTCTAAACAAACTATTAATACGAAATTCCCAGACCACTATATAAGAAAACCCGATGTTAAAGAATTTAATGAAACTGGGGTTACTTTTGTTGACGGTACTTATGAAGAGATCGATGTCGTTATTTACTGCACTGGTAAGGGTAATTTGTGTCTTTTCTTGCCTCTAATCAAGCAATGACGTAATCATTTGTCAATTTATCACTGCACTTTTTTAGGATTTAACTATACTTATCCTTATCTGGAGTCATTGTGTGGCCTAATGGTCAACAAGGACCACGTGGTCCCGCTGTACAAATGTCTTGTGAATATAAATGAACCAAGTATGGTGGTGCTGGGCCTGGTGAGGCGTGCCTGCCATATCGTAGCTATAGACGCACAGGTAAACTATATTTATGACCTCAGCTCATATGTCATCTACTTGACTCCAGAATACTAAAGGTAAAAGCTACATGGTCTCAGTCAACCATGCTGCATCACAATGTTTTATTATGTTTATATTTAGACAAAAGAATCTTAAAATATGGCTTTTTGGTAGTTAACTGTTGTTTGTTAGTTATCACTTTATTTTTATTTATTTATTTTGCAGGTTCGTTACACCACAGCACTTATAAAGGGTGATTTCTCTCTGCCGTCCAAGGAAGAGATGTTGAATGTTTGGCAAAAGGAAGTTGATATTATTCACTCTAACGGACGATCCATGTCTGATTTACATTTGTTAGGAGATAAAGAGGTAATTGAAATAACCTGCAGCCCATCACCACTTCTAACTTTATTTTTGACCTGACTGAGTAATATTATTTATTGTTAGTTGCTTTATACTATTGTATCTCTGTTTACCTTAAACAATTTAACATGTAAAAACAGTATTTTATTACTTCGATTCGTTTTACTACAAATTGGAATGTGCCACCAGTTATATGTAAGGAATATTTGCTTACTAAATTGACTTCAACTTGGTTTTATCATAATATTTTTTTTTTTATTTCTAGGATCAGTATTACAAGGAACTGAGTGATGAATCTGGTATAGACAGAGTGCCTCCTGTCATGTCTAAACTACGGAACATAAGCAATGAAGCAAAACTGCAAAACTTATTCACTTACAGAGATTATATTTATGAAGTGATTGATGATAAATCGTTTAAGAGAACTGAACGTGTAAAAAAACGTGAAAGATTTGATGGCAAGTTGCCTGAAAGTGTTGTATTTGTTGCGGATGATGGTTAGTAGTCACATAACAGGCTTGTTTTTTTATTACTTTACTAGATAACAACTAGTAGATTAAAATGTTTTATTTATTTATCGAATATAAGGAAAGCTGACTGATATTTTGATTGTTACGGATGATGCAACAGTTTATTCTACACGTCTCCAATTTAGATTAATATATATATTTTATTTACCCTTGACACTCTAGAAGAAAGACTATATTTATGAAATGTTCTTTACGAGTTCGACGTTTAGGAGGAGTAATGGATTTTTGTAATGCCATTTGTATTAATAACGTAATACATTTGATACTGAGTACGTAATGAAATTGTTCCTTTGGTTAAAGCGGTAGAATGTAAAAGTTAAACTAGTTGAAATGTTTATGATTGTTTTTGTATATAATTATTTAATATCTATCGTTATGCTTATATTTAAGAAACAAATCTTTAACTTTTTTTATTTAAATCAAAAGATGGAATTGTTAAAAAAAAATTTATAAGCAGAAAATCTTTTATTTCCTAACATCATCTTTCTTATCTCACTCATATGGGGTCATCGCACCAAGCTTTTAGTCCGCCAGATCGATCGATATCACTAATAGTGATTAATTTAATGAAAATATATGCATGTATAACAGTAAAGAACACCTAATACACAATAATGTTTAAAAATAAAACCGAGAAAATTTGCTAGGTCTTCCTTTTTTATATAGGAAAATGCTATAAAGGAATTTTACACAATTCATCCCCTAAATGTCTTAAAAGTGGGATGAAAGTTTGTAATAGGTTCCATTCTTTCCGCCAAATGACTTAATTATTGACATAAACACCAAGAACTAGTAAATTCGGTGTTACGGGATTTTTCATATTTCTCCTGTTTGTTGGATAATTTTTTGAGACTAGAATTCCAGACGGGTGCAGTCGCGGGAAATGCAAATACTCGAAAAGTAAACGTGTTATGTTCTGTGCTTTATTATGTCAAACTATTCTATTTTTTAATCTTTGTATCACTAATGCCAATGTCAAACGTCATAAAGTGTCAAGAATAAACCTATATAAAT